TGCTAACGTGCTGGGAGAATGGTTTGCTGGGCTGCTGCACTGCTGTTCCTTGTCTTTCTTCTAGTTCAGCTGTTCCAGGTTTTTTTTCCCCCCCTAGGGTGATATTTTCTGGGTTTTCAGAGGTTGATGGGGAGGGTGAGAGTGACTACCTTTTTACTCTGCCATCTTGGCTCCCGGAAGCAGAAGTCTCCAGCTAGACTAAACTTGAGGGATTTTTCTATATCTCTTGAGACACAAGTTGGTATTCAACAAGCATTTAACATAAGTGAATCTTAGGAGCAAGTGACCTTAAAGGCTTTCAAGTCCATCCTTCTATCAAAGTAAAGATATTATCAATTTGTTGATTAACTAATTATTATTAACCCAAGCCATCACTATAAAAATTTTTGGTGTGAATTTACTTAATTGCATATTGTTTCTCTAAGACCTTGCAAAGCTCATCTGCATTAGAAGAATGGGAATTTTGGTAGTTAAAGAGGCTTTGGTGGGCTCATCTACCACCATGGTTTCAAATGTCATCTGTATGCAGATGAATCTGAAATCTCTACATACAACCCTCATCTTGATCTGTCAATCCAGCATCACTATGTGCCTGCTGGATAGCTCTTTCTGGAGGTTTCTTCATCTTAATCTCAACATGTCCAAACTAGAACTGATGATCCTCTGTTAAATCTCCTTCTTCAAGCTTCCCTATTTTTGTTAAAGGTACCCTCCTCTTCCTCCTCATTCTGGGCCATACCTTTGGAGTCATCCTCAATCCTTTTCTCACTCTCAACATTCAAATGGTTGGGAAGTCTTGCCTCAGTTTCCTTTTCTCTGCCCACACAGCCACATGCCCTATCGTGACTTGCCTGGACTACTGATCTTGCCTCTCCTATCTGTCCTCCACAAATTTAACTATGGCCTTGGCCTACTCATGCAGCCTCAAGGATAAAACAGAAATACCTTATCTTGATGTTTAAGACTTTTCACAATCTGTATCCCAGAGAAGCAGCCCATCTTTTTGGAAACAAGACCCAAAAGGGTATGTAGCCTGGTGACTGTGCCTACCTATCAGCTTACCCTGGATACCTCTCACCTCAATACCCCTCTCTCTTATCCACACAGCCACACACAATCAGTAAACATTTATTAAGTGCCATATATATATATATATATATATATATATCACACACACATACATAGGAGAGAGAGAGAGAGAGAGAGAGAGAGAGAGAGAGAGAGAGAGAGAGAGAGAGAGAGAGAGAGAGAGAGAGAGAGAGAGAGAGGGCAGATAGAGAGAGGGCATGCTAAATGCTGGGGATACAAAGAAAGGCAAATGAACAGTCCTTGCCCTCAAGGAACTCACAATATAATGAGGGAGACAAGCAAACAAATCCATACAAACAAGCTATATAGAAGATAAACAGGAAATATTTAACAGAGGGAAGGTACTAGCATTAAGACAAGTTGGGAAAGGCTTCTTGTAGAAGCTGGGATTTTAATTGAGCCTTAAAGGCAGAGCTAGGTGGCATGTTGGATAGAGTGCTGGGCCTGGAGTCAAGAAGACTGAAATTCAAATACAGCCTCAGACATTTAATAGCCGTGAGACCTTGGACAAGTCACTTAATCTGTTTGCTTCAGTTTCCATTTGTAAAATGGGGATAAGAGCAGCTATATTCCTAGGGCTGTTGTAAGGATCAAATGAGACAATAATTGTAAAGCCTTATTAGCACAGTGCCTGGCACATAGTAAGTACTTTATAAATGTTAGCTATTATGAAGGGAAGCCAGGGAAGCCTGTAAGCAGAGTTGAGGAGGGACAGCATTTCAGGCATGGGGACAGCCAGAGAAAATGCCGGAGCCAAAAGATGGAGCATCTTGATTGAGGAAGAGAAAGGAGTCCAGTGGCACTACAGGAATGAGTACAAAGTACTTTTGGTGAAGACTGGAAAAGTAGGCGTAGGAGTGGGGATAGCTAATGAAGGGGCTTTGAATGCCAAACAGACAATTTTTTATTTGAGCCTGGAGGTGATAATGAGGAACTGGAGTTTCCTGAATAAGATGATGACTTGGTCCAACCTTTTGTTTAAGAAAATCACTTTGACACTTGAAGTAGTAAAGATACAGGACAGGGGAGGAGGTAGGGAGGCAGAGAAAGAGTCGAGAAGGAGAGAGATTGGACTAGTCCCTTTTCCACTGCTAAGGTCCCTCCTACTCTAACATGCTGTGATCTTAAATTAAAAAACCAGCTCACTGGCAGGTTTGCTATTTTAGGCCCTGTAAATATTTATATGATTCTATCCCAAGACCCAAGTCATTAATAATACATTTACTCAGCTTAATGTACGTATGTAAGGGGAAATTGGAAAATGTCTTAACCTGCTTTTCCTACTAGTTCTTTCTGAACTTCCTAAAGCCAAGTGAAAATGTTTAAGAATCTATCTGAGTTCATGTTTGTTCTCCTCAAGCTAAAAGCAACATTCTTTATGGGCACAAAAACATCATCTTTGCTATTTGCAGAGGATCACAGATTTACAGATGAAAGAGGTCACTTTGTCTACCTCACTGTACAACCCCACAGAGGTTTAATTAAGTGACTTGACTAAGGTCACATGCTGTTAATCACAGGTCTAGAATTCAAACTCAGGTTTTTTTTTTTAACTCATCATCATTATCATCAAAACTAGCATTGATATAGTGCTTCAAGGCTGCAAACTGCTTACAAATACTACCTGATTTTACCTCATAGCAAACTTCCAAGGCTGGTGCTATTATTATCTCTATTTTACAGATGAGGCAACTGAGGTAGAGAGTGGTTAAATGACTTGCCCAAAGTCACATTTAGTAAGGATCTGAGGCTGAATTTGAACTCAGTTATTTCTGAGTCCAGGCCGAGGACTCTATGCACTGTGCCACCTAGCTACCTCAATCTAGCCTTTCTTTTTTAAAATTTCATATATATATATATATATATATATATATATATATATGTATGTATGTATGTATGTATGTATATTATGTGTGCATATAAAATTTGTTTCAATAGATAAGAGCTGCCTTCTTACCAGCCTCCTCCCCTCAACTGAGAATAGGAGAAAAACAATACCCACTACAGACATGTATAGTCAATCAAAACCAATGTCCAAAAATGTTGTCTCATTTTGCATTCTTAGTCCTTTACTTCTCTTTCAGGAGGTAGGTAGCAAGTCCTCTAGAATCCTGGTTGGTCATTATGTTGATAAGAGTTCACTACAATAGTATTTCAGCATATTTATATACCATAACTTGTACAGCCATTACCCAGTTTAGAAGTATTCCCTCAGATTTCCATTCTTTTTTTTTTAACCTTTATTTTTGGAATTGTTTTTAAACTTAAGTACCAAATAAGAAAAGAAAAAAAAATTGCCTTTGCATAGCAGAACATGAGAGGATGCAATGTAAAGCAATGACATTTCTATTTCAAGAAAACCTATATAATAAATATTATACATTGTTTTCAAAGCTGTCCAGCTCTTCTTTGCTTCCTTGTAGTTTTTCTTTTGTTTTCTGCTGTGCACTTTTTACTTTATTTTTCCCTCCTCCCTGCTTCCCCCAGAAGGCTACAATTAAACATGGATATATATACATACATATATATGTATACATATATATATATATATATACATATATATATATACACACATACATACACATAGATATGTATAAATACACCCACATATACTCATTCACATATATGTAAGACTGTACTATGCTTATTTCCACTTGTATCTGTTTCTCTGAAGGTGGATAGCATCTTCTTTCATAAGTCCAGGTCTTTCCATATTTTTCTAAATCAACTAGCTCATCATTTCTTCCACCACAGCAATATTCCAACCCATTTACATCTTGAGAAATTATGAAAGTTTTTCCCTCAATTTTCTGCATTCCTTCTATTCTTGACTACATAGGGTTTATTTATACAAGAAAATTTTAATTTAAAAAAATCAAAATTATTCATCTTACACTTCAACAATGCTCTTACTTTATAATACGGTTTAAGGTCTGATACTACTGAATCTGTTTCCTTTACATCTTTTTTCCCCTTATTTCTTTGAAGTTCTTGACCTTTTGTTCTTTTAAATGAACCTTATGGTTATTTTTTTCTAACTCAGTAAGATGGTTTTTTAGTAATTTAATTGGTATGGCATTACTCGAATAGTTATGTAAAATTGTCTTTTTTTTATTACATTGGTTTTACCTACTCATGAACAATAAATATTATTTCAATTCTTTAGATATAACTTTATTTGTATAAAAATGTTTTATATATGTATGTATATATATATATATATATATATATATATATATATATATTATATATATATATACATGTGTGTGTGTGTGTGTGTGTGTGTATGTGTATATATATGTATATATTTGTATAGTTCCTGTGTCTTTTTTGGAGGTACACTCTCAGGTATTTTATACTGTCTAATCAGATTCCCATTCTTTACCATGTCTTACAGCTGTCTTTATACCATACCTCAATGACAAGGTTTTCTAAAGAAATATATCCTGCAAATCCTTCCAACACCTCAGTATTGTGAAATAATAGTAATGACTTAAGGTTGACAATGATGGCCCCATGGGACACAGATAGTAAGGGACAGATCTAGGACTTTAACTCAGGTCTCTGGACTCTAAGTTGGGAGCTCTTTCCACAATATCTTCCTTCTCTTCCACATGGGGATTTCATTTCTGGTACCAGTAAGTTTGGTGTGTATTCACTATGGCAGCTCCCTCATCTCATCTGTTCCTGGACTTGCCCTTCCCACTATGTGGGTCGTATCCTCTTACCAGGCCTATATAGCCATGGAGGAATTCTATCAGTATGAAGCTGAAACACTTTAAGATCTTAAGAGATTTTTAGAGACCAGTAGTCAAAAGGTAGGATGTAACCAGGTTCAGGCATAATTAAATTTCTAAGTGAGACCATGACAAATTCATCTGGAGTAGAAAGCACTGTAGAACAAACTGAGGTCACGTTTTACATACTTTTTTTTTATTGTCAAAAGAACCAAAAAACACAGTTTTGAAATATTCTCCATAAGAGGTGATGAACGAGAATATGAAGGTGAAAAAATATAATAGACAGACTATTTTCATTGAGCTCCAGTTATACTGACTAGCACACGAACCACAGGAATTGTCATCTACCACTAAGGCAGCAAAACACTGGAAACATTTTTCAGTCTTTCAGCTTCTACAGCAGAGAACAAGGCCTTTTTAAAGGTGATGTAAGAGGCAACAGAAAGCATGCTGGGAGATGTCCTTAAGCACAGACTGCTACTGATGGTCCATGGCTGCTGCTAGAGAGCCACCCAACTTGCTTAGGTCCTGGGCTTCTTCGGATTCTCAATAACAAGCTTGTTAGTTGAGTACATTTCACTAAGGTGGGTCTGAAAGCAAATGAAAGGCATGTTAAGTTGGAGGATGCTGGAAGAGGTGTGTGTTCTTTAAGAGAAAAAGGAAAGAAGATTTCAAACATTTTAAATTCAGGTTAAAATTCACCATTTTTCTCCTTTTGAAATGTATTTTGGGACTACTGTTTATTCATCATATTATCTTTTTACTTGGTGTAGCTATTCTCTTTATCCCTATCCCTCAGTCTTGAAATTGTACCTTTCTCATTTTGAGAAGAAAATCTAGAAAAATATCCTCCATGTGCAATTTCTTCCATTCTCTTTTTTCTCATATATTCTTTTCCTCTTCTACCTTTCTTTCTTTTCCCCCTCTTCCTCTTCTCTCTCATACATTCTTTCTCTTTCTCCTCTGCTTTCTTTCTTTTTCCCTCCTCCTCCTCTTCTTTCTCTCTCTCTCTCATATGCATGTGCATGCACATGCACGCACATGCACGCACACACACACATGCATGCACAGGGATGTTCTTCCCCCTTCACTGAGATAGAAACCACAGCTGTAACCTTATTTTCTCTTACTGTCTTCCAAGCTCTTTAAGAGTATCTTCATTAACAGTTTCATTAGATTCATAGTTGGAGGAAGAGTGAACTAAAGCAATGTTACCCCAAACCAAACAAACTCCACTGCTGATAGGTAAAAATATCTGAATTTTCTGCCACTTAGTGATCCTTCCTCTGCTGCTCCACTAGGACAGCTCAGGGGACAGGGACTAGAAGCCAAGGAGAAGGAGGATGCTATGAAGGGAGAATGGGAGGAGAATGATGCAGGAGGGAAGAGAAATCAGTTTTTTAAAGTTCATAGGTTTTATGAAATCAGGACCTTTGATAGTGAAAGTATTCTTTCCTCCCAAACCCTCCCTTATTCCGAACTTTCCTATCACTGTCAAAGGGTACCACCATTCTCCCAGTCACTCCTTTGCAGCTGGTCATCCTTGACTCTTCACTCTCTCTCACTTTACACAGCCAATCAGTTGTTCATTTCTGTCATTCTAGATTCTTAATAGCTCTCAAATACAACCCCTTCTCTTCTCTGACATTGCTACTACCCTGGTGCAGGCCCTCAACACCTCATACCTGGACTACTGCCATAGCCTGGCTGGCTGGTCTTCCTACCCCAAGTCTCTCCCCTCTCTGGTCTATCCTCTACTCAGCTGTCAAATTTATATATTTTTTTCTTATTTTTAAAAGTATTTTATTTTTTCTAATTACATGTAAGGACAATTTTTAACATTCCTTTTTCATAAATCTTTCAGTTCCAAATTTTTTCCCTCCCTCTCCCCTAAGGAAGTAATCAATTTGATATAGGTTATATATGTGCAATCATGTAAAACATATTTACATATTAGTCATGTTATGAAAGAAGAGTGCAAAAAATCTAGTTTTCAAAAGGAAAAAAAAAACATGAAAAAAGTAAAGAAAGTGAAAACAGTATGCTTTGATCTGTATTCAGATTCCATCAAATCTTTCTCTGGATGTGGATAACACTTTTCATCATGAGTCTTTTGGAATTGTCTTGGATCATCGTATTGCTAAGATGAGCTAAGTCATTTATAGTTGATCATCATACAATGTTGCTATTACTGTGCAAAATGTTTTCCTGTTTCTCTGGTTTTGCTACTGGTCCTGGTTCTTCACTCAGAATCAGTTCATGTAAGTCTTTCCAGGTTTTTCTGAAATCTGCTTGCTTGTCGTTTCTTATAGCACAATAGTATTTCATTACATTCATATACCACAATTTGTTTAGCCGTCCCCTAATTGACGGGCATTCCCTTAATTTCCAATTCTTTGCCACCACAAAAAGAGCCACTACAAATGTTTTTGTGTATGTAGATCCTTTTCCCTTTTATTGGATGTCTTTGGAATACAGACCTAGAGGTGGTATTGCTAGGTCAAAGGGTATGCACAGTTTGATTGCCCTTTGGGCATAGTTCCAAATTGCTCTCCAGAATGGTTGGATCAGTTCACAACTCCACCAACAGTGCATTAGTGTCTCACAAATTGATCTTTCTTAAGTGCAAGTCTGACTATGACCCTGTAAGTCACTTCCTCCATTCAACAACCTCCAGGATCAAATATAGAATCCTTTTCTCTTTGAAAGATCTTCATAACCTGGCACCTTTCTACCTTTTGAGTTTTCTTATACCCTTCAGTGACACTGATCTCCTTGCTGTTTGTTCCATCCAAATGACACTCCACCTCCTGACTTTTCTCTGGCTATCCTCCACACCCAGAGCTTTCTCCCTCCTCATCTCCACCTTCTAGCTTCCCTCATGTCTCACCCAAAGTTCCATCTTCTACAAGAAGCCTTTCCCTATCCTCCCTAGTTTTAATGTCTTCCCTCCGAGGCTATCTTCAGTTTATCCCACATATAGCTTGTTTGAACATGGTTATTTGCATCTTTCTCCTCCATTAAAGTTCCTCTAATATATGGATTGTTTTTTGCCTTTCTTTGCCTCATACTTCCTTAGCACAGTTCCTGACACACAGTAGGTGCTTAATAACTGCTTGTTGATTTGATTGGCAGATGACAGCGCGAGAGAGATTACTGTCTACTAAACACCCTTTGTCTTTGCTTACTGGAGAAAAGCCAGTGGTTAGATCCTTGAAGCACAAATGTGTACTGGTCACTGAGGTCTTTAATCCAGCAGCTATATATATGTCTGACAGATGTCTCTATACAGTAATTGCACCTAAGCACCTACTATGTGTTTAGATATTATGCTAGCATTTCAAAGAAAAAAAACGAAAGAATTCCTGCCCTCAAAGAGCTTAAATTCTATTAGGGGCACACAATATGTATATAAGTAAGCAGATGCAATTTATCATCTATCAATATATCTTACTTCAGATACAATCATTTTGGGAGGTGGTGGAAGTAGTACTGCCCCAGGTTCTAGTCCAGGCTCTGCCATTCATTGGATGTGTGACCTTTGGAAACTCCCTTCAGTCTTCCAGGAATGAGATCTATAAGATGCTGGGGCTGGACTCAATGGCCTCTGAATTTTCTTCTAGCGGTGAGATTCTATGATTCTACATTCACTTAATAAAGTCTGGCAGGTGTTAAATGAGATACAAGTACAGTCTTTGTACCTGCTGGCATTGAAACTATACTAGACTCCCCAGAGGCTGCCTGAGGGAACTCTTTCAGTGGCTATTCCCCATAAAGACAGTGGGTGAGCACCACTGTGTTCTAGCAAGCAGAGCTCTAATTGGCTTTCTGCCACCTCTCAGACCTGCTGCTCTTCCCCTCCCAACTACCTGCCAGCTACAGCCCAGAAGCCCAAATGGTAAACACACTAATAGAGGAGGCAATGGAGATCTTTGCGGGCACTCTGATCCTCTGCTAGATACATGAGTAAGAGAGGAGAGAGCAACCAAAGAATGCAGGTGGCCGGCTACTGTCAGCCTCCTCCACCAGCCTTTTCCTTATCACCTTGACTGCATGGGCTCTTCTAGCTTCTGTACTAGCTTCTCTACTTCTGTATAGCTCTTTGTTTATACCACTCTTATTCCACAGTGCCTTGAACTGCAGCTATCTTTTTCCCCTGCTAGACTGTAAACCCCACATGGGCAGGGAATAGATTTGGGACCCCATAGTACCTAGTATGGTGTCTTGCCCATATAATTTCTCAACAGGAAAGAATCTTAGACATCTAGTTTAAGAGTTCTTAACCTGAAGTCTATGAACCTGTTTTTAAAAAAAAATATAACTATTTCAGTATAATTGGTTTTCTTTGTAATCCTTTGTATTTTTCCCTTTTTATTTACTGATCCATTCATTTATTCATTTATTCATTTATTTATTTATTTGTTCATTCATTCATTCATTCATTTATTTATTTATTTATTTTTACATCCATTTTTTTACATTTTGAATTTCAAATTCTTTGCCTTTCTCCAGTCCCTCCCTCACCAAAGGAAAATGCAAGCAATGTGATATCATTTATACATGTGATGTCATGTAAAACATATTTCCATACTTACTGTGTTACAAAAAAAGAAAAAAAGTAAGAAAAGGGAAGTGATAAAAGTACGCTTCAGTCTCCACTCAGAATTCATCAGTTCTCCCTCTGGAGTTAGATAGCATTTTTCTTTCTGGGTCCTTTGGAACTATCTTGGATCACTATATGTATTTCATTTAATGAACTGAAAAACATTAGTATGAGAAGGGGTCCATAAGCTTCACCAGACTGCCAAACAGGTCAACTGCACAAGAAAAGTGAAGAACCCAGATGATTTAAAACTGCCTTGCCACCTCCTCCTCCCTCTTCTGCCCCCCTCCCCTGCCATGGGATCATAGATTTAGAACTGGAAAGGACCTTAGAGATAACAAGTCCATTCCTCCACTTCACAGATGAAGAAACTGAGGGCTAGTGTGGTGAGGTGACTTGTCCAAGATTATACAGCTAGTAGGGGTTCAAGAAGTACTTGCTGAACACATCCATACAGGATGGGATAGTGAGTTTTGTGGTCTGTTGGAGGAAGTATGACATAGATTCAAATAGGTTCAAAGTAGACATAGGTTCAAATCTTAGCTCTGATACTTCCTCCAGTCACTATATCGTATAAGACAGTCACTTCCTTTTTTAGCCTCAGTTTTCTCAACTGCAAAACAAAGATAAAAAGGCCTTGCTCTCTGTATTCGATGGGTTATTAGAGGAAAGCATCTTGTAAATCTGAAAGCACTACAGAAATGTGCAAGCTTTTTTATTATGGCAGTAAGGCCAATGTTCCACACTGGCTAATGAAGATTGAGGGAAAGCTAGGACTGTATCCAAACCTTTTCTTTCCTAGTATACAAACTTTTCTAAGTGAACAAATCTCCAATGAAGATTTCATTGCCCTGAATTTTCATGTGGAGCATTCAAAATGTCCTATACTTTTCAGCTTTAATAATTTCAGTTGTAAGTAAAATAGGAACAATCTGCAAACAATACTTACAAGCAAGTTCATTACAGCTTAGGACAATTATATCATTC